CAATGAGCCAGTGTCTATTGGGTAAAAAAAATTTACTTCTCCGACATTTTGCTTGTGATCACCTGGTCACATCTCTGCCCTTTATATTCCTATGTCAGGGTCAGGGGGTATCTCTAAATTTCGTTTATTTCATATCATATAAATGTCTTCCTTCAAGTCGTACTTTAGATTCGAAAGGCCTCAGGTTTTTGAAGTTATTTTATCCAAAACTAAATTTTTTATGTCGACCTTCAAAATGTCACGTCTCCTCACGCAATCATCAGTTTTTAATGCCCTTCGATCGAAAAGGATAGAAAGTGCAGAATGTTCCCATAAAAATTTCAGCTTTCAGAAGAAGGCGATCTCCGTCTCTTTTCCCATATTGGATCGCATTTTTTTTGGCATCCGCCGCTCGTTCGTGCAATCTCCCCGCGATGCAAAGGAAGCCGCAGAACTTGTTGCACTCGCATGAATTCTGGCAACGGTGCAGTAGACAAATGGGCGGGGTGCATGCAGAGGGACGGGAACAGATGAGGAGTGATACGGGGAATGCCAAGTCTCGTTAGAGCCTCGCCACACCGCCAGCCTTGATCACACCGGACAAATGACACCGATGCACCCGATCGTGGACTTCGTGCCAAGACGGAGTGAAAGCGAACAGTGAGATTTCCTCTCGTACGTGCAGGATGTCAGATGAGGGGAGAGGCAACGCACTCCCGGAGGAGATGGAGAAGGATCGAGGAGAGGAACCCGATCTCCGCTTCCTCACTTGTGCCCTCTGCGACAAGAAATACCACAACCCCAAGGTAAGAAAAGAAGTGCTTGCGAGCGATGCCCTCCACCCTCCACTCATCCCTGCACGCCCCGTCCAGGTGCTGCCGTGCCTCCACACCTTCTGCGAGACGTGTCTAGCCGGAGTGACGCCGCCGGGGAGCCTCGCCCTCACCTGCCCCGTCTGCAAAGGACAGGTCATCCTTCCTCCCCAAGGGGTAATCCTCTTCTTCATTTCCCATAATATACTCATTGGATATGGACTCGATCGTCTCGAGACTCGATTCGAATCCGATTTAAATCGCTTCCCGAGGTTCGATTCGGATGCGTCGTGTCGGCATCTCAAAAAGCTCCGTGATTTGTTTCGAGAAGTTTACTCGATGTATCGTTCGACTATCACGTCATCTATTCATGAACCGTCGAGAAGAATGTAAACACCAGATGCTTTACAGGATCTGAAACCTTTATGAAATTCCATATTTTCGATCCGGGCCGGCTTGCACCTGGTCGCCGCACCTGGACGAAAGCGGGGGCCGTCACTTCTTCCATGCAATTTGTGAAAAGTTTGCAGGTCGGTGACGATGTTGAAGGATTGAATCACGATGCGATAAAGCATAAGCTGGGGGAATTTCCCATGGCTGTGACTTAGTCTTTTTGTTTGATGTCATAAATCTTTGATAACGATACAGAACTTCTGCCACTAAGAATGAAGTAGAAAGACGGAATAGGCCAAATGAGTCACACTTTATATCATGTTATACGAGAGTCATCCCAAAAGACCAAAGCGTTGCTCCATAATTAGCACAAGTAGCAAAATAGGTACATAAATTACTATATAACTATATATAGTTTGAGTGGTTAGGGTCTCGGACAACCACGCGGGAGGTCCAGGTTCGAATCGGACCGGCGGTATTCTCCCGGTCCGACAGCTCACCCGACTGCTTTCGGGTACTACCTGCTACTACTACCTACTACCTGGTACCTGCTCTCCCTTGCACTAAAGCATGGGCCACTCTGAGCTCCACGGTGTGAGAAGTAGGGGTTCGGCGAGCCCGCCGCATCGTACAGTAGTTATGGAAGGCCAAGGGCATCGAAGATGCCATCGCATTCCTCAGGCTCCTCAAAACAGGATACATAGAGATGGGGAGCGTGAGCACGTGAGGCAATGCCGTCAGAGATGTCCGATAAGTATCACCCTTCGTCTACTACGTGTGCAGTCGCTTGTGGCATTCGTCCTTGTCTGTGTGTGCCTTCCCAGTCCACTTTTTATGTTTTTTTTTTTTAACCCTTTGACAGGTACGGACGTATGCACGCGCCATCCATAAATCTGCTCGACTGAGTACCGAGGTATATCTACGTTTTCGAAATTTTCCGCGTCGTGGCACTGCCGCATATATACGTATGCATACGGTAGAAGTATGCTGCCATGCCTTGACGACATTTCAGTTTGCTTTCCAGTGATAAAAGGCTGCCAGTATCAGATCAGCTGATATTTTCTCGAGCGCGGTCCTCCTGACGAACGCGGCGTTCACCGAGAAAGGCAGAGTTCTTGCATCGGACCGAATTGCATATTTAATATTCAGTAGTGAGTCTAGCGGGGAGTCGAGTGATGAAGATGGATGTAGCAATGCCGGAAATTTCCGAGTTATCTGGTGAAGATGGGGAATCTTAGGGCCATGATTTGACCGAGGGGATAACTGCAGCTGCAGCTAAGAGTCGAGTGCATGATCTGGTATGGAAAGGGAAAACATTAATAAACTCGTCTGCAAAGTTTCATCAACAAACGATACGGAAATACAGGTTGGAGCTACGAAAGTATGGTCATGTTATGTCTGTGGTTCGCTGAAAAAAAAACCCACCCTGGCAGCCTTGAAAACACGCTCGTCAAGGGATCGAAGACAAACAAGCTGAGGCATATACAGTCGACGCTCGATATAACGAACTCGAAGAGACAGGCTAAAAAAATTTCGTTATATGGAAAATTCATTTTAGGGAATTCCCCAAATTTCGCCGGAAAAAGGGACCTGTTAGATTTGTGTCAATATCGCTTAAAAATGCCATTTATTGCAAAAAAGCAAGTAGTTACCCATTCATGAAAAAATGCGAAGGCCTAAGCGCGTGCCAATTGCAAAAATATGGCTTCCAAGACGTTTGCATGTACCTAAATGGACTTGCACAGCAGTTTGCACTCATGTAGGTGTAAAAAAAAAATTGGGCGAGTCACGGACGCTGCATATTCACCGGAAACAAAGTCCCAAACGGTTGTCTGTCGCGCTCCTTCTCCGACGTATCATAGAGTTCTGCAGAGCACTCGACGGTTGAAAAGTTTCAGGCTCGGCTCGACATTGGCCTTTCGTTCAAGAAAGGTCGAAAATGGTGGAAGCCTTTGGACTCGGCCTGGGCTGGTCCTGACAAAAAATATGATCGATGGACGGAGCTCCCATACTCACATGGCCACACCCATCATGGTAATGGTTGTTTTATTTCCTCTGCGGAATTATGGTGTTTCCGGTGCCCTGACAGTCTAAATAAAAATAAGGAAATTTTTCGAATAAAATATCAAGACAATGGTCAGGAAATTGTTGAAGGAGAGAAAGAGTGAGCAAGTGAGGAGAGAAGTGGAGCGAGTAAGAAAGAAGGAAAAGAACGTCAAGCTCAAATACTTTGTAGGAAAAAAATTTTCAGCAGTCTTGCGGCGTCCCGTGGGTGGAATTGGGTGGAACATTTCACGTATAGATATGGGATGAGATTTTCCAGGAATGTAAGAAAATAGCTCTGACGTAGGCAGACAATTTAAATATCGTAATACGGGACAATTTTGTTCCCTCGGACGAAGAAAAGGAAATCGTAAAACCGAAAAATTCGTTACCCACAACTTCGTTATGCATTTCGATATGCGTGCGAATGAGCAAGCGGCCGGGAACTGGGAAAAAAATTCGTCAAAAATAGAATTTGTTATATCGAGGTTCGTTACATCGAGCGTCGACTGAATCTCAATGTTACCCGTTGACCGTGACGGTCGATGCACCGATCGCCATCTATCCAGTGGGGACATATTCCTTCGTTCCGTCCTCCTCGATCCTCCGCAGCATCCGTAACTCTTCGCGGCTGCATCCGCGTCTTCCACAGATACTCGAGTGTTTGAGCAAGGATGCCAAAAGTGGATGTTCACTGAGGCACTTTGCGTGCTGAATGCGACCTGCGTGTTGCACTCTGGGCATCCCTATCGCAGAAGTGCCTTCATTCCGGAGTAGAGGGAGAAGTGACACGGCAACGAGTCGAGTGGATGTGCGAGGATTTCTCAATTCCGGCCGCGAAGCATGTCCGGCACGTCACACTTTCATGATGTTGCAACGTCGCAAGGAAGCAGTAGCACTAGCCGAGAATTATAGTCGCTTCTTACGAACTGCATGGCGCACGTAGCATAACGCATAACTTTTTTTTTTATCGCATTTGTCGTGTGTGGTTCCCTTGCAAACGGGACGATCCGGGATGATCCGGGATGATCCGGGACGGTGCCCCGATGATCAAAGAAAACGATGTTGAAATTCACGGTGACTGTGCATTCTCTGGAACTTGAATGGCGGTGGAGATGCACGAGCCCGCCGTTCTGCACTCTGGCGTATCGGTTTCGAATCGAACGAATTATTGCACGTCTCGTCGGCTGTGATAATTCCATACCGAGAAAAATCGCCGTCCATGCGAAAACGCAACAGAAAGATCCGTGATCCGAGCAGGAAACTAGGCCGTCGCCACCCCGCTTCGTCATCTCTCGTCGAGATTAAAGACACGCCGCCACAACGGACCCCGTTTAAGACGACGCCTTTTCTCCGTTCAGAAGTCTGCCCCATTGAAGAACGTCATTGCTATTCCGCGCGTGTGCGTGAGACATTAATTGAACCCCATCCGGTAGCCAGAACCCGTCTTCTCACCGTCTCGCATCACGGCAGCAAGAGCATTACGCAATGCTGCATCAATTTCACGGGCAGATTCCCTCAGCAGCACGAAAAATTTCACAACTCTTCGTATTCGTTAAAGTTACACTTGCGTGAGCTCTGCTACTATACTGCTAAGTGATGCAATTCGAAGCATCGCTTCAGCAAGGATAGCGCAATCGCGAGCCGATGCTGCAAAATTTTAATTCTCGCTCTCGGCTTCATCGACAAACAATGCTCGGGACTCGGGGAATGGCTGTCGAATAAAAAAAAGACAGGAAGATCAAAGATGATGCATACCCACCCCCAGGACATCGTTTCGCGCCGTGCATTTTGATTGAAATTATCATTTTGAAAATATGTGTCGACTTTCCGACGTGATGGGAATGAGAAGTGTTACGCGAAGCGCCGAGATCGGCTTAAAGTTTCACCCGCCGTTATTTTATCCCTAAATGCGACATGTTTTTCTCGAGTCACCTGCAGATGTGACAGGGAGTGATTTGCCCATTACCGAGACTCCTTCACCCCCGTCTTTCTGTCGAAAGGTCCACGGGTTGGAGACGAATTTCTACCTGACGTCGTTTCTCGAATCCGTGAAAGAGGAGGAAGAAGACAAAGATGAAGAGGAAGAGGAAGAGGACGAGGAGACGGTGATCGGGAAACCGGATCCAAGCCGACTCATCTTCGAACGCAAATTCTCGGTTGTTTCACTCTTTCCATCTCCGATCGTACTTTCGCCCTCACTCGTTACGCCGTGATATATGGATTTCGTGTTCGATCGCCGACTGGGAAAGCCCGAGTGCTTCCGCCATGGAACAGTTTTGAGTGGAAAATTTCCACCCTCGTTCCGCTCCGGTATAGTCCATCGACCGCGAACGACCGGACGTGAATGGTTTACTCTCTATTATGGCTAGCGGTCCACGATTCGTCTTGACTCGAACCAAAGAGAGTGAGAGACAAAGAAAGAAAGAAGGGGGGAAGTGGGGGGGGGATCGTCGGATGTGAACGGAACGGAACGGGGGAATTAGAGGGGAAGGTCACTGACTGGACGATTTCCTTTCAGGAAGGCAGCCAGCAGGCGTACTCGTACACCCTGGCCAGTCTCCCTTCTCCCTCCGACTCGATCGAGGGCTTTCTCCACTGCCCCACTCATCCAGGTCTGTTCTTCCGTGCTTTTACCATCGTGATTCTCTCGTCGACTCTTCGTCTCCCGTCCCGACGAGTCGTCATCCCTCGTTAAGGGGTGTCGGGGGTGTCGTAGGAGTCATATACCTCGATTCGCGATAAGCGCCTTTGTTTTAAGGATCTCCCATTAGGCAGGGAGATAAGGTTATCTGTATGATTGCAGGTCAGTGTCTGAGATTCTATTGCTGGGGATGCGAATGGGCGGTTTGTAGCAGTTGCACGGACACGGGACACAGGGGTCACGCCGTTGCCCGCCTTTCCGCCGCTGCCAACAGATATCGAATCCAACTCCAACATCGACTCAACACCATCCAATCTCAAGTGAGTTGCCAAATTTTGTCTTTCTCACCGAATTCGCACTGTAAAATTGCCTGGTAAATTTTTTGTCAGGAAAGATTCGGTGGTTGGGACATAGAAGATTCTCGGAAATAAGGGATTCACCTCATCCCTTGTCGCATCTATTCGTGCACGGCCTCTCGCCATTCCAGGAATTTATTTCTGCGCAGAGCGCACGAGGGCAGAAAAATTCCGGCGTCAGTTAGTATCGTATTTACTAACCATTAAAACTGATTACAAGATTCTCGGTAAACCTGTGATGCCGAGACCGAAGATAACAATGCCACTCCAACTCCTCCGGAACGTGAGGATTTTTTTCCTCTTTCCTCCCTTTTCGCTCCTACCAAGCTCCACGTTCTCACTGTGATCTGCCAACGAGTGACTACGTAATAACCTACTTCCTCAGCTGCCTCATTATTTCATCTACCAGTTCCATTATAGACTTGATAAGCATCTTGTCGGCTTCATCTTGCGTGGAGGCCGAGCCGAGACAGATTCCCTTTCTTTCCTTTTATTCCTTCATGCGCGAGTTTTACATCAGAGCTTTGACCTGGCAATGTGAATGACCGGCTGTCATGTTCCACGCTGCATCATATGCGAGACGGAAAATGAATGGGGAAAAAGACCAGTACATAAAACAAGTACCGTTGTACTGCCTTCGGGGATCTGAATGACTTGCATCCAGATTTAATAGTGTGAAGAGGCCTGCAATCGCGGAAGGAAAGGTTTTGTAGAAATAATACATTCTGGTTTCACCCTCTTAAAACTTCCCGCGTGAGAGTTAAGCGTCCTTCCTTCATGCTATCGAATATTTTATTTGCCAACCATCTTATCGCATAATCATCATAGTATTGTGACGGATGAGGATGGCATCGAGAGGCTCGACTGAATGTCCGGGGTTCGGTGGTGTAGTGGTAGCACACCTAAGATCTCTTATACCCGAAAGTCGGGTATCCATCATTTTCTTTCGTCCTCTTATGTCATCCGAACTCTTCCCCCCCCCCCGGCTATTATATTCTCCAGAAAAGATCCGACAATCGCAACGGCCGTTCCTTGGCTTCTTTCGTCCTCTCATGCCTTCCATCGTCCGTCTCCCCATTTCCCCTCCGTAACAGTATGAATCGAGTAACATGCATCTTTCTCCCCCCAAAAAAAATTCCTGAGTGCTCTTGTTTCACGCACTTAGATCTCTTCATCTTCTCTATATTACGGCCTGAAGCGAGCCTCTAAAAGCTAAGACGAAGTATTCTTCCTTTAGGTGACGACCAGGAAGACGTTGATACTGAAGGTGGAGGAAATCACCGAGCGGCTGCAAGAGAGGAAGACGAACGCAGAAGAATCCGTGAATGCTACCTTTGATTCCCTCATATCTGCCTTAGAAACTCAGAGAGCCAGGCTCCTCGGCTCCGTCGACAGGATCGCGAAGGCCAAGCTCCAAGCTTTGGGTAGGTTTCCCTCATCGTGCAGTCTGACGACTGGGTTTTCCTCTCGGAAGCATCACGACGAATCCCGTGTCGTTTCCCACAGAGGAACAGAGGGGAGCTTTAGAATCGGAGGCGGACGAGATGCAGAGGGCAGGAAATTTCCTCCGACACACGTTGACCGAAGGCACGGACACGGAAGTCCTCTTGGTCAAGAACCAGATGATCGATAAGTTGGAGGAGTGGGAGGAATCCCCCTACGCCCACGGCCCTGTCGATAACTCTCATCTAAGGTTAGAATAATAATAAAAAATCTGCTCAACATTTTTGGGCATCATCGATGTCGATGGAGACAGAGATTTTGATTAATCCGCAGTTTCCGAGAAGACGTGGCATTGTCACTGAAGCCACGACTCCTGTCGGTGGGAAGCATCACGAGTACCAGTGCCGTACCGTGGCAGAGTGCCTTCTCCCCTTATGGAAGGGATTCAGGCGAGGAGATGTCCAAAGTTCCCGTTGGAAAATCCGTCCGTTTCGTTCTTCAAACGAGGGACAAGGACGGGAATCCCACTGAAGGTGCTCACCCTTTCCTCAAGGTCAGTCGCACCCTACGAAAGTCGAGAATCTAAAATTCCCCCCCCCCCCCCTGGGTCGTCCTGATGGAAGATGCATCCTTGGCTTCTCTCAGGCTACGTTCACGATGGGGAATCTGGAGACGGAAATCCCCGTGGAACCTTCGAGCCCGGGGAGGTTCTATGTGACCTTAACTGTGCCAAAAGAAGGGCCTCTCTCGCTGTCCATCACGCTCTTTGGCGAGCACGTGAAAGGAAGTCCTCTGAAAGTCAGTCCCTCATTCGGCCCTGAAAAATCCCTCCTCGCAGATCCCGTCGGAACCGAAAGGACAGAACGTAAAATGAAATCTTCTCACCCGTCGTTTCAGTTGATTGGAGATGGCGGAAGAGAGGAAGGAGCATCGTCGTCTTCGTCCGGTCGGACTTCCCTGTCCCTCCCACCGAGATCCCGACTGTCTCGTTCCTCCAAGGCGTCTTCGTCTTCGTCTCTCTCCTCTTCTCGAAGGAGTTGCGTCACTCCTCTGGAAGACGATCTCATCGGAGCCATCGGCACGAGGGGGAGGGGCAAGGGACAGTTCACCAATCCTCAGGTATGCGATGGGTCCCTTCTCCGATCGGTTTCCCAATACGGTGTGTGAAAAAGACGATCACGCTTTTTGAATATCGTTAAAAGGGAGTATGTTGCACGACTTCCGGGGAGATCGTGGTCACGGATTCCAACAACCAATGCGTGCAAGTCTTCTCGCCAGAGGGCGAGTGCATCCTCAGGTCTGTTTCTCCTCCTCTCTTCTCAAATGTCTGTTCGAGGCAATTTTCAGCTATATTTGACTCCCATCGTGTCACGCCGTTCGATTCTTTGTTGATACTCATTGTTAATTCTCTTGATATGCTTTCCTCACGTTGTCCCGAGCGACTCGGAGGGAAGCCTGATAGGCAGTGTTACCGATAACTAAAAGCCTGCCTCCTATGGAGGCGAAGACGACGTACGCTAATCTGAACCATCCGCAATGGTAGAAACAGGAATAAACCCTGCTTACAAACCCTTTCTACTTCGTATATTTTTACTACATTGCTACCAAAGGCAACAGACAATATTGTCCTCGATGCCGATTATGGTGTCGATCAATTCTGTATAGCCGCTGTATACTTATATCGAACTTTTCGAAATACAATTTTTATCGAGTAGGTGCGGGGTGCGACGATGAGGCTTGGTGAAGAGCTGCAGAACCTAACATACGGAATTAACATAGATTTATTTTGTCGAATAGGTTTGGTGTGAGAGGAAGAGGTGTAGGTCAACTGCAGCGGCCAACTGGAGTGACGGTCTTGCCTTCCGGCAGTTATGCCGTAGCCGACTACGATAATCGATGCGTTTCTGTCTTTCAGTCTTCGGGGAAATTTATCACTCGGATTGGCGTCAACAAGCTTCTCGGTATGTCAGCCGTCATCTTTTCATTTTCCTTCCGTCGTCTTACAGTTCCGAGACCGTGAAAATATTTGTCGTGGACAGGTCCGAAGGGTGTGTCCGTGACCCACGGGGGTAAGCTGTTGGTTGTGGACAACAAAGGTGGGAAAGTGGTGGTTTTCGGCGCTGATGGTAGATTGGAGGCACGGATCGGCGACAGAAAGAGTGTCGGGTCTGGCTCGTCAGGGAAGGAGGCTCTAGCCGGTCCCCATTTCGTAGCCGTCACTGCCAGGGGCCGGATCGCCGTCTCCGATTTCCACAATCACTGCGTCAAGGTCTCTCGAGGTCTCTCATTTTCTCGACTTTTCTTGCTCTGTTCCATTCTGACGGCGGATGTTTTCCTGCAATACAGGTCTACGAGGCGTCGGGCGAACTGGCATTCAGCTTCGGTACGAACGGGGATGGAAACGGACAGTTCAACGCTCCGACCGGAGTTGCAGTCGACGGTCTCGATAACTTGCTGGTCGCAGATTGGGGCAACAGCCGCATACAGGTCTCTTCCTCATATATCATTTATAAAGAGATGAGAGACATGGAAGATTCGTTGTTTACATAATATGATGCACGTTAAATGCAGGTGTTTGATAGCCGGGGCACCTATATGGGGGTGGTGAATGCGGCTAGGGCTGGCCTTTACGGACCTCAAGGACTGGCTGTATCACCCTTGAATGAATCCATCCTCGTTGCGGATTCCGGGAATCACTGTGTCAAAGTGTACGAGAACAAGTTCTCGATCCTTCATGCGCCTTCGCACTTGACCCTAAATGGGGATGTTTGAAACCCATCCTTCCCTGTGATCATGGGAGTTTCTCCTTTTAATTTACTCCGCTGGGCGGATATTTTTAAGCGCTTGCCGCCCAAAGCTTGTCGAATTAATGAGTTCGATTGTGTGTCTTGTGTGACTTTCCTGGGGTGTCCTGGGGCAAGTCGGTTTCATTCCATCCGAGCTTGTTTGGCGTTTGCGTGAAAAAGTCTCAAAAAAATTTATTGCTCCCATCTACGCCGCCTCATAACATTCGTTGTCCTGCATTCGAACCCCATAGATGATATAACACAAATAAGAGAAGCACCAATGTTGAACGAGTGGATGAATTCGAACGACCAGCATTAAATGAGGGATGGTGGACGTGGACCTGAGCCAATTTCAGGGGGGATAATAGGGGAGAATGTAGGATTTCTTCGGCCTGCGAATTAATTTTTTGAGCCACTCGCCGCAGAGACGTCACGCAGTTTCTCTGTGGAGAAGATAAAGACCTCGTTCTAAAATCACTGCGATATAGAGGGATGGAAAGTGCTTTGTTGAAGTCTTTTGACCTGGGCAGCGATAGTAGAATGAACGGACCGGTGCTGAGTCTCATCCATCTCAGCTATATAGACAAGGTTTTCGTCTTCCACGGCTTTCAACTGCAGCTCGCATACACTCTGAAACGTATCGTCCTAGAATATTTATATGTGTACGACTAATTCGTAAGTCTGAGACATTATTCTGCTGCTACCGACCTGGTTGATGCCTCTGTGGTGTTGCAAGAGATTCTGAAGGCCTGCAGTGATGTCCGGGAAGTCCTTGCCCGTGAATCCTTGGAGGATCTGGAATTCCTCAGAGCTAAATCCGATGGTTAGGAAAACTCCATGCTTCATCTGAAGGTTTTCTGCAAATGAGAATTTAGCTTGTTCTCATGTGTCCTCCTCCACGAGTCACCTTATTAGTAGTGGTAGTAGTAATAAGAAATCACGAACCGGGGCCGAGGGGAGGGGCTTCACAGATGAGATGGCCTGCATAACAGAGGCATCTGCCGCGGATAGAATCCTTGAACAGGCTCCCATGCGAGAAGGATGAACATGGCCAGAAGCGAATACAGGGCAGTCGTCGACACCGAATTTCCCCTTCTCCATCGCATTCGCACACATCTGAACAGCCCCTTCTCTTCGTCTCGTACACCTGGAAACCTTACACTGGTACTCTAAATGGGAAACTTCAGGAGTTAAAAAATACCTGAAAAATGAAAATGCATGGACGTACCCTAATGGTTCCACCAAATGGGACCAGGAATCTGTTGTCTCCACCAGCACTGACCTCACAGAACCCTTCGATGAGAACAGCATTTGGTAATTCTCGTCGCTAAAAGTATCCTAAGAGTTATGAATAAAAACAAAAGAGACACACCTGGTAAAGGAGCCGATTGATCCACTTTCGGAGTGGCGGGGGTGGAGGAGGTTGACAACTGTTTAAAGGCAGTTGTCAACTGCTTGGGGTTGTTTGTAGACTGGTGGAAGGTAGGGGGGCTGGAAGCCAACGTTCCATTCTCGTTCCACAACATCTTGGAATTCCTCGACAACTGATGCCACCTCTGGATTTCCTCTGAAACACGATTCTCTCTTGTTATTGCCTTTCCTATTTCCATTCCTTTTTTGATAACCAGAGAGTTTATGATCCAAAGAGAAATTATGGGACGTACCAAGGCAAGGATTTCTCCAGAGAAGCCAGGACCAAACGACGCAGTCGTCACCGGTTCTGTCGGTGCAAGTGCAAGGTCCAAAGATCTCACTCCTCAATATCTCCATTGCAGCCGATAAGCATTGATCCAATCGACCGCTACATCGACCAGACATCGTATCGGATGCACACGACTGGAGGTACGTCTCTAGGGACTTCCTACGTGGGAATCGGCCAAAAGAGAACTTCAACGATGAAATTGATGGAGGTAACTGTCCACATCGAGCGCCTGATCTATCCAGACAACCATTACAGGTCTGTAATGATACTATTTGAGAAAACTGATGCGGAGCGATATACTGTACAGGGTGTCCGTAAATTATTTTTCCGATTTTGATGACTTTTTACTCCGACTTTGTTTAAGTAGCCGCTTTGAAATTATATGTAAGATGAACTCTGAAAGTTTGAATTTGACGCTAGATTGCAAGTTGTGCATTCTGCCCGCTGGGCAGAGCTACATTCGTCGGTACGGCAAAATGGTATCCGGGCCGGAGAAAGCGTTCTGTGTCTTGGCATTTCATGAGACAAAATCGGTTGTTACAGTGCAGAGACAGTTTCGACGGAAGTATGGGAAGGCTCCTTCAAGCCAGCCATCAATTCGTGCTTGGTACGAGCGTTTCGTTAGCGATGGCTGTGTGTAAACGCAAAAGCACCGGCAGACCGTCCGTGAGCACTGAGCGCATTGAAACCATTCGGCAATCATTTCCACGCAGTCCCCAAAAATGCCGTGCCAGTCGGGAACTTAACATGCCGAAAACAAGTGTGGCAAGTTCTTCGCAAGCGCCTTTATTTGTGGCCATATCGATTACAGATGTTGCAAAAATTGAAACCTTCGGTCAAAGTGAAGCGGTATGACTATGTGGTTCGAGTTACTCGTGGCGCTCACATTGAACTTGATTAATGACTGTGTACGTCAATAAGAACTGTTAAAATTGTTCTTTCGATTGATATGTGTTTCATAAGTGTAGCTTGAAGTAACGCTGAGAAATAAAATATCCAAATCGGAAAAATCATTTACGGACACCCTGTATGTACAGATAGATGAGGGATATAATGACCAAGAACGGCTGTTTTGGCGAAATAGTGCTATAAATGCCTGACCTGCAAGCGGGATTTTCCATACATCGACGAGCAGACGTAGAGCATTCGGGAAGAAGGAAGGAACAGGAAGGATAGAACCGGAGCAGCGCATCTATGCATGGCCCATCCCCGGCTTGGCACGTGCAGAATGCCAGCGAAGACGACATCTCTTGGGGGAGCTTCCCGTACAGATCCCGGATGGCCGCTCTGCAAATGGTGGGGCTGCAAAGTCTCGCTCGGCATGCACCGTCGAGGGGATGGACCCGCGCGTGGCAAGCATCATTCAGCCGGCATTCATCCCATGCTTCTTGGCAGGTACTCGGAAAGAGTGGGATGAGTTCTCGAGAGACGCCTCCTCTTCCCTCTGTGAAGAGAAACTGGATGATGGGAATGATCCCTGGCTGACCGCCTGGACGGTAGAGACCTCAAGCTTCATCACTAGATGGCTCTGCAAAATTTGCTCGGTTTTATCTTGGAATGCATGTTAAAAGGCTCAGTTTTCCTTTTTCCCATTCAGTATTGTCATCAAGCAGCAGTTTTGAATACAGAAAGGAACTTCATCGTGCTTAGCCTATGGGAAGACGAGGGAGAACCTTGGGGACTGTTTTGGACGGGATGGTATTTTTGAAAGACCCGCGAAGGATCCAAAGGCAACGTCGAGGTCATTTCGCTGAATACAGTCCTCACGTGGTCCAAGGACGGTAACGGAAGACTGGATTGCATCCCACCTATAAATAGCAAATGAAACGATTTTGAGCTATATCTTCTGAGCACTTAGGGGAGGGACAGGAAGTACTGTCCCGTCAGAGATGCGGGGATTACCACAATTCACTGATATCGTTTATGATGGTATTTTTAGCTAGTACCTTATATCAAGTGATAATGCACTATAGCCAATCCCTCATCTCTTCTAACCTTATACATGTCACGTGATGGATGAAGCCCATAATATTGATACATTCGAATCGTCAAGGCAAGAAGTGATAAGTTGGAGATAAATGTGAAGGGAAACTTTTTCCTTTTCAGATTTGCGGATTCGGAGCCGTTACCGTGCTGAAGCCTGAATACATAGCTCCAACTGATTATTATCTGTTTGCAAATCTGAAAAAAAGACATTCGAGAAAAACTTTTTGCGCGACAATAAGCTGAAGTCGACCGTGCAAGAACGGTTTGACAGCCAGAATAATATTTTTGCGGATCCGGTATCAGAATGTTGCGTGATCGTCGGGAGCGTGCCATTTAGCGTGATGCTCATTACATTCAAGATTGATAGTAAAATAAAATTGTGCGTGCATGGCTTGTGGGTGAGGCCGAGAACTTCTTGACGGGCCTGGTACTACGTGCATATGAACGCATATATTCCTCATCTCTCCTTATTTTTCTCTCTTTTTTTTTCAACTTTCAATTTAAGCATGCTGTCTTTGAAAGGAGACTCCTACTCCTTCATGTAGTGCTCTAAAATTGCCTATGGTAGACAAGACAGCATAGTGATGACGTGTAAGAAATGCATGAAGCTGAAGACGAGTGAAGAAGAGAAGAAAATCTTCAAAGAAGGGATTTCTTTGACGATTTTCCATCTCCGCTAGACCATTGTGCTGAACCACTGTGCTGGACCACTGTGCACCAGAACGGAGCCTTCCAATTTCTTTTATTTGGCGAACCATCCGTCCAGTGATTCGTGGGATAAGGCGATGAAAGCTTCCATGCATAGATTTCCCTTCCCCAATCCGCTATGCATGCATATCAGAGCGATCAGGAAGGGGCAATCAGAAGCTGATAGAAAAAATAGCGATATGCAGACGTATCGCCCATAGGCCCATAAGAACGTTATCGATCCTAATCCTAGATATAATCACTGGCAGGCGAAGGGCGACGAAGCGAATGCCATGGAGACACCGAAATACATCCAAACGAACGCAAATAAAGGCGAGACTGCCGAGCGAGCTCACGTCATACGGTCCACGATAGAAGAGTCGGAAAACGGAACGATTCGTACCGCCAGAGGCTTACGAGGACGACGAAATCCGGATTTTCCCCCTCTTTCTGATCGACCGCATTCTCACACCCGGCCGCTACAGCCGCTCTCTCGGCTATGTTGCACATTTCAAGGCCTGTTCGGGTGGTAAACTTCTCGACCGAATTAGGATATGAGAACGATTCGCGGACGTCTTTTCCAGGAAAGCAAGGAAATTCAAATACGACACTGCCCTGCATGACGGTCAAAAATGACACGAAGAAAATGAAAACGACACGAAAGCAATGGCTTAGCCGCTCAAACCAAGTCACTCGATTCCAATCACGCATGACCGCATCTGGAACTGAGCGCCTGCGAGCGATGGTGCATCCAGGAACCATTGATTGCATTTTTAAGGCTGTTCAGCAGTGGCTCGAAGTCTCCCAACTCTGAAAGAATGGGCGGGTGATGCTGGCGAAGGTCCATCTTCATTTCGCGATTGAAAACATGCTCTCTGCAAGAAATTATTATTTTTTCCTTTCTTTCCTGCGATGCTTGGAGCAGTCCGATGTTCCTACATGTAAATGTAAATCTTTAGCATGTAAATCTTTCTCAAGCTCTTGACTTTCTTATCTCAACATTTGACGTAGCCAGTATGTTGTCCTTTTTATGGAGAATCCAAAACTTTCTTCCCCCTTCTTTATAGTAAGAATCTGGCCTCCCCCCATTTCGGTGGTAACAGATTCCAAGGACTAACGTATCGACAGTTGCGCAAATATAATTAATTGCAATAGCAGCGTCAGGTACAAATGCATCCGTCACCTTGCGTTATGAAAATGCAATTCTGCGGCAATCCCCTGTCACGGGCATGATATGCCTGTTGCATTTCACTTTCCTTCAGTTTAACATGCTTTTTTTTAGAACTGAAGTTCAACATCCAGCACAGCGACGCGTTTGAACTTCCTTGGCGCATTTGGCTTTCTCATTTCCTTATTTGACCTGAAAAAACCTATAGTATTGATTTTTTTTTTAATATTTGCAAGTGGCTTCATCCATTGTGCGAGTTCGGCGATGTGCGAACCACGTTGAGGACATTTAAAATCGCATACGGAAGAAGCAGGGCCACAAAAAAAAAACATTTCCCAACTCGCATAATCATCATCTCGTGATCTATTACATCAGATGAGGGCAAATATATTTATAATAAATTAAAGGCCTTCTCGACCGTGAGGATTGAGTGTGTGTATCAACAAGAACACTCGAATGAGGAATGGAGAATACTTAATAATGAGTCCTCTCTTTAATTAACTCCGGAAGCCGAAAGCATCCGATACGTAAAGGTGTTAACGGAAAACAATTTTCCACATTTCCAGAATTCCAAACGGATGCACAGGACAACAACGTTAAATTATTTGGAATGCCCGACTAGTAGGGGAAATTTTTTTTACTCGTTAAGTTGAATGCACTTCGAGAGAAATGGCAAACGTCTCTGTCTCTAAATTTAGAACCCCACGATTGACCGGAAGAAGGAAAATGAGCACGTTATAGCTTGTCACGCGCTTAAAATCGATCGCCATGGCGACATTCTGGTTTTGTTCAAGTCCCTCCTTTTTAGATTGAATTAATTGTACCATGAACCATGTTCCATGAGTGTATTGCATCAAACTGACTTTATCCTAATGGAGCTTTAAACCTCCTTTAGCGAAGCTGAAGGAGGTTCAATCCACCCAATGTCTTTAGAATGAAAATTTAATTTTTGAAATCTGCATCCCTTCTTTAGCAAGCTGAGAAGTTTCACTGTTCTACATGGAATACCCAATGTGCTTTACATTTTTTAAAGAGAGCAGAAAATTGTGGGGCCCTCTGTACAAACCACATTTCTCGAGTGCAAGGAACCCGGTCGTTCGTTCCTCAGGCGAAGGGTATATTAGGGTTCTCTAAAGAGATACTGGAAAATTGGAGACCCTGCCCGTTCGTGCCGACAGATGAATGATTGATGGTCGCCGATCGAAAGGGGGCGAGGGGGGTAAAAGGGGGGGGGGGAGGAAATGAGGGGCGGGATTGCGAAATGGGAGAACTCACCGAGACATTCGTTGCTGTGAATGGAGTCGAAGACCCTCCGGCAGCTGTGGCCGTACTCGGAGTGCCTCCCCAGGCAAACGCAGCCGAACAAAGGGGTGAAGCGGATCCGATTCCATGCACTCAGACAGCGCTCCCTGCGACGTCGTCCCGGCCCCGGTCCCGAGTGAACACGGGAGAGGTATGCTTTTAGAGGGCGGTGAGAGGGCTGGTGACGTTAAAGTAGAAGTTGGGGGGTTTTGGGAGGCTCGAGTCGCGACCGCGAGACTAACTACCGTATCGTGTTTGTTCTCGCGAAGAACTGCAAGCATGGGAAAGGTGGGGTAAAAAGTGTAATATTAAGCAAGAGATACTTATTTTTTAGGGGCTGGCTTTACCTTTCGAGAATATATGACAGCAGATGTGAAAAAGCTACAGCGTATTTACGAGAGGTTAGTAAAAGTTCTCGGACTACTGAAGCTCTGTAATTTATTTTATGTACAAGTATTATTCCTGGCAAGTATCTTGTGTTGGGTCTTCAGAGTGCGTCAGCAAAATTTCGAACTGATGTTCAGTTGAATTTTTTTTTCTTCAAATTTTTAAAATGAACTCCATAGCAAAAAAAAAACGAGAGTGTAATTTCGTAAAACCGAGGTTGGAATTCAGAGCGCCGGAAAATTCTTCGTGGAACTCGTGGAAACGGGCCAAAAGAAACTAGCACGATGTTGCATGCTGCCTCTTTCGGACGGAATGCTTTCTGACTGCTGGCTCATATTCTCACGAAGTCATCGGAAATGACCCGAAGTCTGGTTGGCCATCGGTATAGGTTGAAGAGAGGAGCAAAATTGCGAGAAATTCTCGAGAGACTTCAGAATGAGAAGTCACGACTCCCCAGCGAAACTGAACTTTTTTTTGCTGGCGGGACTCAGGCATTTCCCGGTTCCTTTCTAAGGCCGATGGTCCCGATCGCCCTAACCTCGGGTCAATCGTGTCGAAGGTCTTCTTTTCGGCGGATCGTTTGCGTCGCTCGAATTCTTTTAAGGTTCCGAGGGGGGGGCACGATTGCCCGCTTCCACGAAAAAAATGACGGCATTCCGAATTTTCGCCGAAAAGAAATTCCTTATTCACATTCACCTATAATGTTGATGAATCCTTAAAAAAAAAATCCCTTAAAATCAAATGAAATAAGCAAGAAATTATTCCCGTGAAGATCTAACCCGAGATACTCATCATCATGCTCATCGATGAATATAGAAGTTGCACAACTGGGAGATTTGGGATCATCCCTTTCGGGGCACATGTTATCTCGGGTACGCGTTATCGCACTACTCGTACCTGAAAACCGGAGCCACCCCGATACAAAGAGGGAAGGAAAAGACGAAGTTTCTCCGATTCTCGGAGCGCCAGGTGGCTTCGTCAAAACCGCATTCATCGCGTGATTCTGGAAATCCCAAAGAAAATGACGGATGTGCGTCTCCCCTAATGAGATTATTCCCGGCTCGGATCGAGTGTCGCTGCAGTCGTCGTCGGTCGATCCGGAGTTTCGCGAAGGAGTTCTCGTTACGAGTCAATTCTCATCGATTGCGTGTAGCCATGAATTGCTTATCGTTTTCGGCCGGACAATAGGCTCTCCTTTTCGCGTTCGGCTATCAGGTCTTCGACCGGACTCTTCTCGTGCAAACAGTCTTCCCTTTCCTTCTTCTCCGAAAGAGGAAAAAAAAAAAGCTCCAGAAAATGGAAGGATCCAAAATGAAACCGCATGAGTTACGCTCAGAGGAAGAGGATTTCTTGTCATCAAATGCCGCACGATGCGTTTCCAGCTCCTTCCACAGCCGCGAAATCGGTTTTTCTCATCGTTTTCTGATGCGATTCCAAAAAGTTCGCCTTTCGCTCTTGTCTGTTGTCGACGACCGATCTCGTCTCGATCCAACTGTTGCTCTAGAGTCGGCCAGTTATTTTACGAATCGGACGCACTATCGGCCTCTCAAAAGCGATTCGCGCGATCACACGTTGTGTATTTTCCTGGGAAATATGAGCGTTTTTTAGAGCCTCCCAACTTAATAGCTCTCGTGGGAAAGGGTGATCCTGGGTTTCAGAAGACATCGTAATAACTCACGGAGAATAAATGGAGCAAGATTGCGTGGCGGGGCCACAAGCTTCGTGAAACACACGGAGGGCCACTCGGCAACTATAAATGCTTTCGCACTCTCTCATGGCTTCATCGCATGAGGGCAAAGTGGACCAAGCCTCCCCTTCCTTGTACACTGCAAGGGTTTGTTACCCGATGAAGAGCCATCTCAAAGCGGAAACCGTAAATCCTCTCGCACGCGACTCACCGACTTCCTCCGCGTAGAGGCAGGGGTGGTCGAAGAAGAAGCTCCGGTATCTGTTGCACTCAGGGTCCAGATGAGGCTCCCTGCAGAGGCAGGTCGGCT